CCACATGAGGGGACACACACAAAAACACACACAAACACACACAGACACAAACAAACACACACCTTCATCATCGTCATTAACCTGAGAACGCGCGGACCACGTTTCCTTCCGTAGACACTGCGCGGACATCGCTGTCCTCCCGTGAGCCGCGTGTGGATCGTGTTTTCTCGCGTACGCGGTGTAAACCGCGCTTCCTCCTGTGCGCCTCTAAACCAGAACTAACACCAAGACTAAAACCAGGACTAACCCAGGACTAAACCAGGACTAAACCAGAACTAAAACCAGAACTAAAACCAGGTCTAAACCAGGACTAAACCAGGACTAAACCAGGTCTAAACCAGGACTAAACCAGGACTAAACCAGAACTAAAACCAGGATTAATCCATTCCAGGACTAAACTAGGACTAAAACCAGTGATCTCATATATATTTCTCTATCAATAATATTTCTAATATGGTTAAGGAAAGACTGGACTTTTTATTGTCTTTAAGTAGACAAAAGTTATTATGTTCAGATTTCCTCGTCTTTGCTACTTTACAGCAAACAGTTTCTTATTCATGGAGACTTGGGCTCAACAGCCAAATTGGAGAGATTTGTTAAACAATAAATGACTTTATAAAGTCACTTTTTTTGTTCTATATCAGTCTTTTGATCTGCCACAATAATGTAATAATGAATTTAAATGAAAATACCTCAAATTGAAGGCTTTTCTCAGCAATTTTTAGGTGAGATTAAAATGAGATTAATTAGATTAATTAATTACAGATCATAATTAATTAATCTCTCAATTTTTTTAATCGCATGACAGCACTAAATGCAATATATGAAAGATTTAAACTTGACAGAAATTTGGAGAAACCTTCACCCTGATAAAATAGAGTACTCATGCTACTCAGGTACACATAAGTCCAGATCTCGCATCGACTATTTCTTAGTATCACAAGAACTGGTATCCAGAATTACAAATTGTTGGTATGATTGTATAGTCATTAGTGACCACTCTCCTATCTCAATGTCTGTAATGGTGGACAAGCTAACACGATCTCCTCCTATCTGGCGTATGCAAGTAAAATGGCTTCAAAATCCAGAATTTGTCACATACATAGAGAGCAAGATTAATGCTTATTTTGAAATGAATACTGATCAAACAAATGCGTCCATACGATGGGAGGCTTTTAAAGCATATATTCAAGGGCAAATTATAAGCTTTACAAGTTCTAAAAGTAAAAAACAAAGAGAAAAAATAATCAAATTAGAGAAACAAATAAAATCTTTACAAACAGAAATAAATAAGAGAGATGACCCTGAAAAACAAAAACGCTTAGTCATTTTAAGAACAGAGTATAATAAAATAACAGCTGAGAAGGCAGCCAAAAGTTTATTGTGGTTAAATCAGACCTTCTATGATCAGGGTGAAAAAGCTGGTAAATTGTTGGCATGGAGAATTAAAAAAATTGAATCCGAAAGGGCTATCAATTGTGTATCCACACAACTAGGAAACATGATAAATGATCCACAAGGTATTAACAACGCATTTAAAGAATTCTACCAATCATTGTACAAATCAGAACGGCCTCCTTCCACCACTGATAGAGATGTATTTCTGAACCATCTTGAGTTTAAAACTATTGCAGAAGAGGCTCAACAGGATTTGGATAGTGATATTACTGTCCAAGAGCTATTACAAGCCATTAAAAGCATTAATTTGGGCAAGGCTCCAGGTCCAGATGGCCTGCCTATAGAATTTTACAAAACCTTTCATAATCAGTTAGTAACTCCACTTCTAAATATGTTCATGGAGTCATTAAATAATGGTATCTTACCTCCGACTTTAAGACTAGCAACAATAATCCTTATTTTAAAACCTAACAAAATACCAACTGACTGCTCTTCATACAGGCCCATCAGCCTTATGGGGGTCGATACAAAAATATTGTGTAAAGTTCTCGCTAAAAGATTAGACCCACACATTCCCCATTTGGTGCATAATGACCAAAATGGGTTTGTACAAAATCGTCAAGGTTTTCATAACATTAGAAGAGTCCTAAATATAATTCACTACACAAACAACACAAGGGATACAGCACTTCTGTCTCTAGATGCAAGACAAGCGTTTGATAGGATTGAGTGGCCTTACTTGTTTAGTGTGTTACCGAAATATGGACTTGGGAAAAAATTTCTAACATGGATTAAATTATTATACACAAACCCCACAGCTTGTGTAAAGACGAACAACAACATATCAAGCCAGATAACACTAGAAAAATCGACTAGACAGGGCTGCCCCCTTTCACCGATGTTGTTTATTTTAGCTATCGAACCCCTGGCTATGTCTATTAGAACTGACGCAAATCTTTCAGGAATAAGTGTCGGAGGATGTGAACACAGAATATCATTATATGCTGACGACGTGATTCTTTTTTTTAATCAAATCTATCAACTAGTATTCCAACAATTTTACAATTAATCAATAAATTTGGTCAGTTCTCTGGATACAACATTAACAACTCAAAATCCTCCATACTTTTCTTAAACAAAGAAGAAAGAACCCACCCAGTCATACGCACTCCATTTTACAATGCGAGAGATGGATTTACCTACCTTGGAATTAGAATTACTCCACAAATAAACACTCTCTTTAATACAAACTATGAACCGCTGTTGAGTGATATGCGAGACTCACTTGAAAAATGGACAACAATGCCCTTATCAATGATAGGCCGAATTAACTTAATTAAGATGACAATTCTACCAAAATTTTTATATTTGTTTCAATCTCTTCCTCTCCCATTGCCAAATTCATTTTTTAAAGAAATCAATAATGTACTTTGTAGATTTATCTGGAATAACAGAAAACCCAGACTTAGACTTAAATTACTGTACCTGCCGTATGACAGGGGGGGTTTCAAATGCCTTGTTTTCAGTGGTATTACTGGGCTGCTCAGCTACGATGTGCTATGTTTTACTTTTCCACACAATCCTCTCCAGCATGGGTTTCTATTGAACAATCATCATCTAAATTGCCATTATGCCTTTACTTATACTCTGCAGATATTAAAAAACTAATTAAAAAAACAACTAACCCTTTTCTTAAAAATACAATCAATATTTGGTTTAAAGCTCATAGACATATTGGTGATACACCCTCCATCTCTCGATTCTCTCCCATTTGGGGTAATACCCGGTTTGCTCCGGGCAGGGCAGATGGTGGTTTCAAGAATTGGGCAGGCCAAGGTCTGCAGAAAGTAGCAGATTTATATGTTCAAGGTAATTTACTAACATTTAATGACATCTGCTTGAAATATTCCATCCAGAAAAAACATTTTTTTAAATATCTGCAGTTGAAACATTTTATCTCATCAAAACATTATGACATTGTGCATGAACCGCCGCTGTCCTGCCTGGAGGACACTGTCATGAAGCATATACATGGGAGAGGGCATATTTCCATACTATACGCCACACTTGTTTCTCATGACAAAGAATCCAGCATGGATAGAATGAGAGCCTGGAGTTTAGATATCAAGGAAAATATTAATGAAGCAGAGTGGGCAGCTGCTTGTTTAAAAGCTCAAACACACACGATCAACACAAGATTGAACTTATTACAACATAAATGGCTAATGAGGACATACATAACCCCTGAAAAACTTAGTAAGTGGTCCTCGGGCATTCCAGACACTTGTACTAAATGTTCGGCTGAGAGGGGCACCTTAATTCACTGTGTGTGGGAATGTCCTAAATTGGTAACTTTTTGGAAAATGGTGATTTGTACCTTAAGTAAAATTGTTGGCCTTCGGGTGCCTCTCTCGGCAAAACTGTGTGTCCTCGGAATATACCCAGACAACTTCACTATCAGCTCTAAAAGTAAGACTCTGATCGACTTTGGCCTCCTGCAGGCCAGGAGGATGGTTGCTTTATCGTGGAAAGAGACTGAAGTTTCTTCTAAACAGTCCTGGATAAGAGAAATGTCTCTGTGTGTTACACTGGAAAAGCTGACCAACATCATTAGAGGTAAAGCACAGGAATTCGAAGAAGTATGGACACCCTTAATGGTCTTTCTCAGAAAACTATAGTTGTGACAGAGTGTGACAATTATTGTTATTCTTTATATGTTATCTTATTTTTGTTATTATTATTATTATTTTAATTTTAATTTTGTATTGCTTTTTTTTAAATTTATGTGTATGTATTTACTTTTGTTTTTTATTATTATTATTTATATATATATATATCTTTTTTTTTATTGTTTTAAATTTGCCATATTGTTATTTCTTTACATATGTTTATATGCATGTGTGTTTAAACATATGTGTATATTTGCTAGATATGGTACAGCACTTGCTATGCAATTACAAACTTCTTAATTGAAAACTAATAAAAAACATTGTGGGAAAAAAAAAAAAAAAAAATTGACAAACTGCAGATCTTCAGCAGGAGACATGTTCTGTATTCAAGGCTTCAGACAAATCAGCCCTTCTTCATTTAAAGGCTTTCTCTCCATGCAAAAGATATGACTTGATATTGTGACTTGATTTGCTTCATTCCTAATGGAGGGCAGTGACAGTGACAGTGACTCAGTGGTTAGAGCAGTGATCTAACCACAAGGTTGGAGGATTGATTCTGGTTTGGACCTTGGCACAACCCATCACGCTCCTTGCCTTGTATAAGTGTAGTGTGTGAATAACGAATGAACAATGACTTTGATAAGACTGTAAAGGCTATGGCAAGTGTAAAGCATTGTCATTATTATTCATAGAGTAAATTGTTATAGGAGTGTTAGTATTTGTGTATTTTTGTGTATTGTCTCCCCCCACCAGGTATAAACATAACACCCAGTGGAACAGGGCCTTCTCCACAGCTGCCCCCTCCCTCTGGAACTCTGTGCCTAAACACATCAGAGACCCATCAATCCACATTCCCCATGTTTAAAAAGGTCCTGAAAGCCATCTCTTTAAAACTTTTCTTTCTTTTGTTTGAGATGTGGATGTGTGTCAGACCTGGTACTGCTCTAAGAACATGTGCAGCTGCTGGACAGAGATGCGCAGGTCCGTCTCGTTGAACTCGTAGGGAATGTTCCAACCCAAAGGTCCAAACTTCCTCCTCTCCTGAGTGAGAGCGTGGAAGAAGCACAGGCCGTACAGCAGCTTCTTAAACACCTCCTGGAACCAAACAGGACAGACATCAGGGACAGAAGAGGAGAGACATGGACAGACTGGAGAGGTGAGGACTGAGATTCTAGTACCTCATTCACAAAGACATTAGGACATGCTTTCAGGTCATGTGACTCTGGTGTATCAGTGAAAAAAATCAGATAAAGTGATAAAAATGTATTTCAATAATAAAGCTACATTCACTAAATGTATAAGAGAGGGGCATACTTCCTTCTTACAGTCATTTCACATTTAGCTGAACAACATTTTTTGAACATGTCAAACTTGAGGCGCAGGTCTGAGTAGCAGGTACCGGTTTGCTGGAGCCGTTGAAGAACTCGGGGTCAGAGATGGGGTCCATGAGGAAAGAGCGGGCAATGTTGGAGCGTAGACCTTTAGGGGCCTCGTTGGTCATCTTCACCCCGTTTTGGAGCACTGCCACTGGGAAGGTGGGTGAGGGGTAACTGGTCAGCCACAGCCGGAAGTCTGGGTGTGTCGTCTCAGGGTTTAGCTCCTGGACAAGAGAAACATGGTCTGACTCCTGCCTTTCAATGAGAGTATCTCCTCCTGCTGATATTTAACAAGATCAACAAGTGATACTTTGCAGCTGATGTCATCCACACTGCCTGGAAGTGTGATGTTACTGTAGGCACTGCTGTGTCTGCAGGTCTTTATAGCCACAAGCTGACCAACAGTTTTTCACATAGTCACTCTCACCTTTTTGTTGAAAACCAAACTCCTAAACAGTGTACACTGTGTCACCATGGTAAGTGCTGAACTTTACACCACAGAGTTACATGTAGAAACCCCCCACACGTGATGTCACCGAAAAGTAAAAAAAAAAAAAAAAAAAAAAAGTTAAATAAAGCTGTTGTGTTGTGAGTGACATGAGCACATGTGCCTCACATGGTGTAAAGGTACACAGAGAGGCTTTAAAACATGCAGTAACATTTAGTATGGGTACATCTATAGTTTAGTGCTCTAGTATATAGTATAGTATTAACAGTACTCGTACTATAGTATTGATACATATATTAGCAGTATTAGTACTGGTACATTCTGACCTCACAGATGTGCTCCAGCGTGCTCATCCACGACGTGGCCAGGTGGCAGTTCTGCAGCACCACCCATGTGCCCTCTTTGATGCCAGTGGAGATCATCTGCATGGCGATGGGACCCTGTCCTTGTCCCAGAGACAGAGACGTGAGCTTGTTCTCTGTGAAACCCTACAGGACACACATAAAATTACACTTAATGCAGTTCTCTGCAGCTTTTCCAAACACAATGTGCTAGTAAACTAGTGAAAGTTGAATGTGAGTGGTGCTGGTACCCTCTCGTCTCCAAACTTGAGCAGTGCGGCCATGGGGTCGGATCCAGGGGAGAGGATGAAGATGAGGGGAGCGCAGCAATGACTGTCCCCAAACACCTGAGACAGGTTAAAGGGTGGAGTCTCAATGAAGGGATGTCCCAGAGAGTCAGAGACAAACTCCTGTATCATCGGCACCACCTGCACAGTAAAAACACCATTTCACTTCGAATCATCATCAATATGATTTCCTCTGTAATCCTGCAGCTCCATCTCTTTTACAGTACATTTTGTTTCCATTCACAGGTACACTGTGTAATTATCCAAAGGTACACTTGCCTTGTCTGGCCTCAAACAGCGGATTATTAACATCCTCTGGAACTGGCTCAGTTTGTCCTGCCACTGTCCTGGGAAGGGCATCTGGTGAGGGCTCTGGAGAAACACACAGATACATAGTTCTGTATAAATATAAGTGTATGTGCACAGTCACTTCACATTCAAAACACTGGTGTTGTGGGAGAAAGTTGAGTACAGATGGAGGATGGTGGAGGATGGTTTTGATACAGGTTTAGTGCCTTGAGTCACTTTTCAATCACATGATTTGGACACATCTCTCACAGCGCTGGAGTCAAACCTCCACAGATGTATGGTAAGCTCATTAACTCCTGTAGATTTTACTGTAATTGTACATTTTCACATGTAGATATCTGTACCTCTTTCTCGCCCTTTCTCCTGTCTCTGTCTCTCCCTCCTCTCTCCCTCTCCTGTGTGCCTCACCCCCTCCTGTTCTCCCCCCTGCAGTTCTCTCTTGTTTGCTCCTCCAGTCCTGTCAGTCTGATGAACAGCTGTGCGCCTCAGAATTAAATAAAGCCTGATTTTACAAGTGGAGCTGCGCAGGTTTAATTAGAGGGAGGTGTGTGTGATTGGAAGTACACGGCGACGTGGGACAAACTGGTGCGTGGCTGATTGAACATCTGCTGAAGCCAGAGAGAGTGGAGAGATGTGACGAGAGAAAGATGAAATTAGCACTGATTGTGATTGTGTAAAAGGCATCCACAGCATTAGACAGACAGGTTCACTGCTGGTGTCACAATTGTACAGAACTGACAAAGAAATGCGATGAGTCTAAAACAGGAGACGACACAGGGGCTCACTTCTATGGTTTGATCTACACAAACACAGATGTCACATATTCAAGATGACAACACTGGGAATTTAAAGTAGTGACAATTTAAAGGCCGTGTGTGACAAGACGTTCATTTTACAGGAAAACTAAAAACAGTCCAAACTTTGATCACACTCTGCAAACAGAATCCTGACAGACACCAGGCCAGAACTGTTTACTGCTTTTAGTGTTTAGAATAATATAGAGTGCATGCATTGACATTAAAGAACACTTATACTAACTAAATCCTCTTGTAATCCCTTAATGTTGGAATTTATATAGATGTATGTAGAAAAATGTTTTGAGTGAGTTTTGCCTTTAAGTAGATGGTAAATTAAGTTGAGATGATTAATTTGACAATAGCAAAAAAATATATAAAGAAATAGAAATTTGGGTATGTTGCAAATTTGTGACAGCTAGAAACAAGTGCTTGCTAAAGGTTCCTAGGAAGGTACTGCAGATGAACTCCAAACGGTTTGTCGCATATTTGTGACAGTGGGCATTAAGGGGTTAAACATGCTTTTGGTCATCCAAGTATCTCACAAACTTCAACTATTGTCTGCATTTGGAAAACAAACTTTATAAACTTCACCTGTTTCCACTGATGTATTTAGGTGCTGGAGGTGCTGATGTATCCACTGTACACTGTTATAGTGTATAGAGACACTGTTATAGTGTATACAGACACTGTTATAGTGTATAGAGACACTGTTATAGTGTATAGAGACACTGTTATAGTGTATACAGACACTGTTATAGTGTATAGAGACACTGTTATAGTGTATACAGACACTGTTATAGTGTATAGAGACACTGTTATAGTGTATAGAGACACTGTTATAGTGTATACAGACACTGTTATAGTGTATACAGACACTGTTATAGTGTATACAGACACTGTTATAGTGTCTGTACATCCCCCTCCCCAAATTCCCCAGTGTTGTCCCCAATCGACGAACACAAAATTCCCGAAGCTTTCTCACTTCCATCGAGATTCCAATTCACCTTATTATAACCACAGTCCCATTGTCAAGAAGGGAAAAAGAATAATCTGCAAATTTATTTATTTTTCTTAACAATTAGCAAATTAACTTTAACATATATAATTATGTTTAACTCTTAGCACACAAGCTGTATTTAGTCAAATCACATATTATACAATGAATCTGAAATAGACCAGTTATTGTCTCCTCAGCACCTGGCCACCTGGGGGCAAAAACAACCGCACCTCTCATAACGTTTGTTAGAACAGGACGTATTCAGTCCAGTGCACTAATACTATACCTCAAAAGAAGAAAAAAAAATATATATATACATATATATTAGCAATATATGAAGGGAATATTTATCTAAACGCACAAAGAAAATACAAATGAACTTCTTTTCTTAAACAGTAATAAAAAGTCAGTGCAAGGCAAGCCACGAACACTAGAAAGTCAGTTGCCCGTATACATTCTCATAGTGTGTATTTTGGCTACTCATCTCTCCCGAACCTGGAGCCAATGAAGTCTTTCACGCTACTGGGAGTGTCAAATACCTTCGTTTCCCCGTCACAGGTGACACGAAGCCGGGCAGGGTAGAGAAGACCATAACGTACTCCCTCTCTCCCCCGAAGCAACCCTTTTACTTCGTTAAAAGCTGCACGGCGTCGGTTTAGTTCAGCGCTAAAGTCCGGAAAAATTAGGATCTGTTTTCCGCGGAATTCCAGCCAACCTTTATCTCTGGTGAGGCGTTGGATCCGCTCCTTCTCCTGATAATAATGGACATGAACGATGAATGGCCGTGGTCTTCCTCCTCCCGGGGGTAATTGAGCTGACGCCCGGTGAGCGCTGTCCAGGACCGGGGGCTTCTCCAAACCGCTTGGACCTCCCAACACTTCATGCAACAACTCGGAAACGAACCTGGTCGGGTTCCCCTGTTCCAGGCCCTCAGGTACGCCCAAAATGCAGAGGTTGCATCTTCTTCCCCTATTCTCCAGGTTGTCCAACTTTAGCACTAGTTTTTCGTACTTGTTGCTTAACTCGTCGTACCTCGTTTCCATGGCTACCATACGAACGTCCAGATTGGACAGGTCTTTCCCGTATTCGCTTAGCTTGTCACTGCATTCCTCCAGAACCTTATTAATGGGTGCAACCGCACGGTTAATTTCCTCCCGCAACCCGGCATTTTCTTCTTTAATCACTTCTTTAACAATGTCACGAAAAGCCTGAAGTGTGCTAGCATCAATAGCAACCGTGCTTGTAGCGGTGTCTTCGGGGATAGCAGCTTGTGAAGTTGCCTTGCTAGTGTCCGAGATGCTAACCTGAGCTTTTGCGGATTTCGGAGGCATTTTACAGAGAGAAAAAAAATAAATTTAAACAAGCAGTCAAAACACAAGGTTCCTCTTCCAGACGCCAGGGACGTACTGCATTGAATGTATTGTGCAGATTATTAAGTATTTTGACAAGAATATTGGGACCTCGTGGTACGCACGTCTATTCCATCACGCGCCCCTAGTGGTCTCTCACTTGACTGTTTTAAAATGTTGTACAGAACAAAGGTTTGACTGAGCTGCCACACCTTTAATAAGTCTCGAAACAGTCTGTAAGGCTACGTTCAGACTGCAGCCTGAAGTGACCCAAGTCCGATTTTTTGGCTTCTATGTGACCTGTATCCAATCTTTTAATGACAGTCTGAACGACACAGATCCGAATTTTTCAAATGCGACCCAGGCCACTTGGATATATGGTCCTGAATCCGATACATATCTGATCTTTTGACATGCGACTTCAGTCTGAGCGGCCAAAGCGCATCCATCCGACCTACACGTCATTAACAAGCGACAAACGTCACTATTCTGCGCTGAAGCAGGCGGAAACCGGAACTGTAAAATCTCCAGGTGCTCAATGCTCTTGACCATATTTGGACAACTTCCGTAAACACAGAGCACGCTCGCTGCGGTTGACGCATGGGGTTGACGTCATCGTGTCCTCCAGTACGCATGCGGGACACTTTCGGGCCGTTTACCGTTCACACTGAAGTCACAGACAAGTCGCATTTAATTGGAAATGTGAACGACTTTGCAAAAACATCGGATTTCACAAAAAAATCGGAACTGAGCATTAAGCCCTGCAGTCTGAACGTAGCCTAAGTCTCTGTGTCTCTGTGTTTTTCTATCCTCAGAGCCACATTTGGCCTCCGGGCCATAATTTAGACACCACTGCAATAGCGTATATATATATATATATATAATGTATATGTATATGTGTATGTGTATGTGAGTATGTCTGTATATAGTGGTTACACTAGATACACACATACACTATATACACAATTAGTGTACACATGTGTCATATATGTATATATCATGTATATAGTGCATATAATGTATATGTGCATGTGGCTGTAGGGGACAGTTGGACTCACAGAGCTGTCGTACACACTCTTCCACTCGTTGCGGAGACTCATCAGGTCTTGCCTCAGGCCCGTGAAGTTCTCCATGTCGGAGAGTCTGCAGAACTCGTCCCAAGACGTCTTTGGGAGCCAGGTGCAGGGGTTATAGTGCTGGTTATCCAAGCCCACACCTCCAGTGAGAAGGAAACGCCACTCAGACTCATCCACCTACAGCACACAACAGGTACTACTAATACTACTACTACTACTATTACTACTACTACTTCTTCTAGTAGCACTACTCCTCATGGGTCCTGGTAACAGTTGGTAAAGTCTTGTGTTTAGAGGCAGACTCGAGTCATGTCTGCGGATGGAGTGAGTTAGTAACTCAGCAGCAGCTGTTTCCACAGATGTTCCTGACAAACACTCTTGTACTACTGTGTCTGTGCAACACAAATGGGACACAAAGATCTCCTATTATAATATTACATGAAGTCTGTTCCACTGCTTTAGGGCCCGTCTAACCACCCCCTCCGAGACCAAGAGCTCGTCTAACCACCCCCTCCGAGACCAAGAGCCAGGTTCACATGTTCTGATTAGGACTAAACTGACACAACTGTCACCAATAAAAGACACCTGAAATATCTCAACACTTTGTAGTGACATCAGGCTGGACGGGGAATATCAAGGAATCAGTTTGTTGTGAAGTTGTGTTGTGTTGTGAGTTTGCTTGGAGTGGTACTAGTTTGTTGTGAGGTTGTGTTGTGAGATTGGGTGCTTAGAGTGGTACCAGTTTGTTGTGAGGTTGTGTTGTGTTGTGAGATTGGGTGCTTAGAATGGTACCAGTTTGTTGTGAGGTTGTGTTGTGTTGTGAGATTGGGTGCTTAGAGTGGTACCAGTTTGTTGTGCATGAGGAGGTTGATGGTGAGGCAGAAGGAGAAGAGGAGCTTGTCCTTTTCGAACAGAGAGCGGCACACGTTCATGTACAGGGAGTAGGTGAAGTGCTCCTTCAAGATCTGCAGCCTGAAATATGAAAAAAAACAACAAAAAAAACAAAGAAAAATAACAAATTATGCAAATCTGTGCTGAAATCGCGCTACACTAACTAAACACGAATAGGACAAAACAGGTGGTCTGCGAAGAGCTGCTGTTAAAATGTGATCAGAATTGTTTGTAAAAAAAGCAGGAGCGAATACCAGGAAAAAATCAAAATACAAAAAAATACAAAATAACCAAATGAACTGAACCAAGATTAAACCAGAACCAAAGCAGGAGGAAACTGCCTCCACACAATGTTCATTATTTCTGTGTGTGTGTGTGTGTGCCTGTGTGTGTGTGTGTGTGTGTGTGTGCATGTGTGTGGGTGCCTGTGTGCATGACAGTAGGTTGTATGCTTGTTGTGTTGTGTGTGGAGGGTTGTGTGGTTGTGTGGGGTTGTATGGTTGTGTGAGGTTGTGTACTTGTGTGGGGTTGTGTGCTTGTGTGAGGTTGTGTGCTTGTGTGGGGTTGTGTGCTTGTGTGAGGTTGTGTGGTTGTGTGAGGTTGTGTGAGGTTGTGTGAGGTTGTGTGCTTGTGTTGTGTGGTTGTGTGCTTGTGTGGGTTGTGTACTTGTGTGGGGTTGTGTGTCTTGTGTGGGTTGTGTGCTTGTGTGGGGTTGTGTGCTTGTGTGGGGTTGTGTACTTGTGTGGGTTTGTGTGCTTGTGTGGGTTGTGTACTTGTGTGGGTTGTGTGCTTGTGTGGGGGTTGTGTGCTTGTGTGGGGTTGTGTTCTTGTGTGGGTTCAGTGTTTGTGTGGTTGTGTGCTTGTGTGGGGTTGTGTTCTTGTGTGGGGTTCAGTGTTTGTGTGGGGTTGTGTGCTTGTGTGAGGTTGTGTGCTTGTGTGGGGTTGTGTGCTTGTGTGGGGTTGTGTGCTTGTGTGGGGTTGTGTGCTTGTGTGGGGTTGTGTTCTTGTGTGGGGTTCAGTGTTTGTGTGGGGTTGTGTGCTTGTGTGGGGTTGTGTGCTTGTGTGTGTGTGTGTTGTGTGTGCTTGTGTGGGGTTGTGTGCTTGTGTGGGGTTGTGTGCTTGTGTGGGTTGTGTGCTTGTGTGGGGTTGTGTGCTTGTGTGGGGTTGTTCTTGTGTGGGGTTCAGTGTTTGTGTGTGTGTGCTTGTGTGGGGTTGTGTGCTTGTGTGGGGTTGTGTGCTTGTGTGGGGTTCAGTGTTTGTGTGGGGTTGTGTGCTTGTGTGGGTTGTGTGCTTTTATGGTTGTGTGCGTGTGTGGGTTGTGTGCTTGAGTGTGAGGGCATGTGAGTTTGTTTTCAGTGGTTGTAAAGTCTGTCTGAGTTCTATTTCCTTCTGAGTTTGTGTGAAAATCTTTCTTGGCAAATCCAGACTGATATCAAATCTTTATATTAGTAAAATATAGAAGAAGTAAAATAGTTTATAATTACTTTAATTGATTGAATGAAGTCATTTAAATGTACATGTATTCTGCTTAATTGACTCTTGTGAGCTTTAAAATGTTATTACCTCATCAAAAACAAACCTGGAGTTGGGTTTTGTTTCATTCACTCAGTTTTGAGCTTGTCTTCATGTTGAAAGCTCTAAACGCTCTGTTCCACCTTGTCTAGTGGTAGTCTGACATGACATCACAAGGTGGGACTGAGTGTGTTCTGTTTGAGAGAAGAACTCAGCCTAAATGTGCAGGGTTAGGGTTAAAATGTGTGAATGAAACAAAACAAAACTCCAGATGTGTTTGTTTGTGATGAGGAAATGACATTAGAACAGAGATCAGAAAACAGAGTCATATGGGCCTGTCCTTGGAACTGTAGATCTCATTTGTGACGTTTGGATGTTAAAATGGTGATTCTCTCCTCTGTCCCAGGCTAAATTGAGGTCTTATTTCTTATTTTATTCCTGTGTTCTGGTCTCTCCTCTTACCTGTGTCCCAGATCGTCACTCTTCTCTGAGTTGTCGATGGAGCCGATGAAAAGGTTGATGAACCAGGTGAGGGAGTACTGGTACATGGGCTCGATGTTGGCCAGGTCTGCGACGGAGAAAAACAAAATGGCCGAATGCACCACGATGGGCTTGTACTCCATCCGTGTGGAGTCGATCTTCTGCTCCGTCACCTCGGCGACGCTCTGCTTCTTTGAGATCTCATTGGCCAGGTTTTTGGAGCAGGACAGGATGTTCACAGCGGTTTGGTCTTCCAGAATGTTCCCTTCGGACATGGACAGCACCTCCAAGATCTTGTCCTCGAGCTCCTTCAACTGCCTGTGAAGAATCACTTCACAAGTTACCACCATGTTAACATGAGCTCAATACACTTCAATTATTATTATTAGAGGTGGTAGAGTGGCCCAAAACTTTACACAAGTAAGAGTTACTTCAAAAAAAAAAAAAATGTATTTTTTGGACTATAAAACACACTGGATTATAAGGCACAATATCAATAATGTTGAATTATCTTGTCTATTTTCATAAGGTACATTAAGTGAAACAAACGGGCGACACTTGAGACTGATCTTTAGCCCAGGAGTCCACGATCCATCGGCAGATCGTGGTGTAACTGTCCTGGTGTTACCTCCCTGTCTTGGTGAATGTGAATTATGAACATGAATGTGGGGGGATCATTTAAGTTAGTTTGTTTATGTTTTACAGAAGCAAAACTTAAAGCCACATGGCTCATTTACATAAACTATAAATGCTGAAATAAACAGCTCTATTAAAAGTCTGATATGTATGGGACTACGATACCCATAATGCACCTGTTTGTAGTTCCTGTACGTTTGGGCCCCCAAAGTTCCGCTCTCTTGTTGTTGCAGTAGTGAAGCCTCGTGCTGGGCTCGAGCACCTGTGCCTTTTGTTTGTGTATCTGTACTGTGTGCGTTCATGCAGGGTGAGTATTGTTTATAATTTAGTGTGAATGTATGTTTAGTGTGTTAGTTTATTTAAAATGTGTAGTTATTCATTTCATAACGAGTTAACACTATCGTTATTACACGGTGCAGCGCTCCTGTAGTCTACAGGAGCTCAATGTGCAATAGATTTATTGTGTTGGAGCGCTCACTTGTGGTTCTTCTGTATAATTTTCCCGGTTAATTTCATATCGTTTGTTTGTTCTAGAGCCCGACCGATATGGATTTTGCTGTGGCCGATATGAAACCGATATAATGTTAGTTGGAGCTGCCAATAGCCGATATAATCGCCGATATATTTAGTGATGTAAAAATTCACTGTAAATGTTGAATTGTTTAAAAAACTTAGGTTTGGCTTTGGTGGATTTTAAATTGGGTTTATTTAGGCAACATTTATTGTTATTCTGCCTCTTTACATCATATTTACAGACAGTAGTTTGGCTTAATGGCATTTTTGCATCACATTCTAGACACTAGTGATGGGTATTCCAGTTCTTTTTAGAGAACCGGCTCTTTTGGCTCGGCTCACTAAAAGCTGCTGGTTCTTTTGGCTCCCAAGCAGCTCTTCAGATTGTAGCACGTCTAAAGCAGGACTGAATCAGGACTGAACCAGGTCTAAACCAGGACTGAAAAAGGACTAAACCGGGACTTATTTATTTTATGCTAAACTACAGCCAAATATGCTCCTTTTTTTTGTTTGTTTGTTTGTTTGGTTTTTTTAGTTTTTTTAAATTTATCCTATGTACACGCAAATTTCTCAAAGTTTCGTTTTCAGCCGCTGCCGCTGTCAAACTACGAGTCTGCACGCGGCGTGAAGAGAAAAACAGTGAGAGAAACAGAGAACACGGCTCCTAATAAGGATCAGGCTCCCGTCGTTCGCTTCAAAGAGCCGGATCTAAGAGTCATTTCGTTCACGACCGACCCATACCTAGTAAAGAAACTAGCGCTATTAGCCTTTAGCTGTAAATACGTACGCGCCGCGGTAATTAATTATATTTGCAAATGTCATAATTCACACGTCTATTCACAGCTCATTTACATATCAATGCAGGTCCAGTAGCAAATATACGGCCAATATAGTCACTTTAATAGACCAATAGAAAACTGTCTGTTTATGTGCGGGAGCTACAGCAGCTAACCCATACAAATGATCAAAACTAGCTTCAAAGTTGACATATTTCCAACACTCAGCCTCACACAGGCTCCTCCTCACATCACAAATCTGAACTAATAAATGTCCTTTTAATCCAGACTCAAACCGATTGTCCGTAAAAGAAAATAATCTCAGTGTTGTGCACCGCTGCGGGTGTAAACAAACACACGTGAGTGACGCGACTCTGTGGTGTGTTCAGGGACAGTACGGACACACACACAGACAAATGACTCCACAGATAAATACTGATGCGGAGCCACATATTAGGACATTTATCTGACTGTAAATTGTATTAAATGAACAGAATGTAGAGAGTCTAAGATTTTTAACGACGTATCACATGCCCACGTGAAATATCGGCCTCTATCAGCAAGCATATCGGCCGATAGCTGATATGCCTCCAGATGCCCATACCGGCCGATAATATCGGCCAACCGATATATCGGTCGGGCTCTAGTTTGTTCTCTAATGTATATATTTTTGTTGTTTTTGTTTTTCAAATAACCACACCCACACATACGCACATACACCACACATGTAACCATCAATAAACATCGTCAAATATCACCTGTTCCCTCCTCTTCAATAAACATCTACCTTTGTATCAGTGGAGTTGCCTGTCCTTCTGACCGAGGACGACTCAGTAATCAGTGCATTCCGGACGCACACAGTACTTTATAAGCTCGCTCCTTGTGCACTGATGTGGTTCAGCTTCTGTCGGACTGAAGGACACGACTCAGTGGAGTATGAGTGTTCTCTCTGTGACAGAGGATGTGCTGCTGATGTTGAGTCTGTTCTGTGAGTGTATCGCGTTGGAGATGGTTCATGTGAAACCTTTCAGAGATTATAAATCTGCAGGTCAAACACATAGACCATCAAGCGGTGTGGCTTCACTCTCCAAAGTCGTACTAAAACATTTTGACAGATTTTTGAGCGCTGTGTATCACATAAAATCAGTTCGAGTTCAGTAAACACAACCGGAATGAATACATGAGGCACACTGGATTATAAGGCGCAGTGTCGATTGTTAAGAAAATTAAAGGATTTTTAAGTGGGCTTTATAGTCTGAAAAATATGGTAAAATAAATTACTTAAGTAAATTAATTAAGTAAAAGTAACTTGACTGTCAATCTGAAGTTAATGTAATTTGAAGGTCAAAACATAAACAAATGTACAAAATCTGGTATCTGATATGAAAGATACACAAAAATGAAACAAACTAAATCATATCTAAAGGCACTCTGCAAGAAACACAAATCATTTCATACATTCACATAGTTTTTGTCACTTAAGACTTTCTCACAGTGGGAAGAGGAAACATAAGAAAATAACTTTTACTCAAGTAAGAGTACTGTTACTTCAATATGTACTTTTAGATAAGTACTCACAATTTCTTTAAAAAAATACTTGTAAATGCAACAGTGTCCAGTACCCACCTCTGATTATTACTGCTAAAAGAGGAATTGTGATATTCAAGAATCTACAGTAAGTGTGTGGTTCACTATTGTTAATTTACAGATAGTAAACCCACAGAAGAAATATAGATTTTTAACAGTAAATCCATGTTTCAGTTAAAAAATGTCCCTGTGTCCTCATTTAGCATTCTTACATACTTAACCAAAACAGTGAAGATGGCGGCTGCATCACAGCATTAGATCCTGTGTTTGGGTTTTGTGTCATGTAGCCGCTTTCTTTTCATTTCCAGTGGTTTTATTTGGCAGTAATAAGTCGATTTGAAGTCCAGCGCTGTGAAACAAATGCCTCTTTAGGTCAATGAATATTTGGAGCACTTAAGCACATGTGCGAACCAGGCACAAACCAAATATAGACTGTAATGGGGCCGCGCTGGTGCTGGATTAATGGTTTGTGGCGTTGAATATGGGTCATTATGAGCGAAAGTAAAAGAGCCGAGTGAAGAGGAGGAGAAAACAGGCCAGTGTGAGACTCCACAGGCTGAACCCACCCGCACGCGCACACACACACACACACACACACACACACACACACACACACAGACATATCGACCACAATACTGGGAATTACACAATGCATTATACTGGGAATTATACTGGGAAGAATACTCGGAAGAATACTGGGAGAAATACTGGGAGTAAAACTGGGAATAATACAGGGAGTTATATTGGGAATAATACAGGGAATAATACTGGGAGTAATATTGGGAGTAATACTGGAGGTAAAACAAGGAGTAATAGTGTAATACAGGGAATAATAGAGGCTTTGCACCGTCAACGGTACCTACGCCGCCATGACACCGGGCACACTATGTCATTGACTTCAGCAGCATCGGAGAAACATGGGCAGGTTTTGTTGTGTATTTGGTTGTTCTAGACGCTCTGAAAGGGATAAAACGATTCATTTCTTCACTGTTCCTCTGGAAATTACTCATCAGGAGCTCAAATAAGGGAATTATCAAAAAAAGACGCGGATTATGGCTAGCTAAAATAAACCACAAAGAGATTTCCTATGGTACCATCAAGACACACTCACGTCACTTTCATCAAGATATTTGCTATTTAAATTGTTTCATAGTTTATTTAATGAGAGAAGCACATTTACTGAACTAAAATGTAAAAAGAAAACATTTGCAGTGTGAGTGGTGTTATGTTGGTGGTGTAGAAGAAACGAAGGCTAGATGAATCTTCAATAACGTTTAATGTGGACAATGCAGTTTTTCACATGGCTATATTACAATATTATTAACTCTCTCTCTATCACTCAAGTTCCCTCTTTTATGTTACGTTGCCCTCTACAGGTGAGGCGTACATCTCTGTAATACTATATTAGTTATTATTGTAATCACATTTACATATCTGTCAACACAACAAGTGCAGTAGAAACTGGATCTTCCAGCGCACATATAAACATGTCACTCGTCGTAGGACCCATGTTTTCTTTATTGTCTTGCTTATCCACAACTATTTCTTCTAGAATTAATCGCTTTTTGTGAGTGGATCTTTCTAACGTTCGCGAGGATATTTTCATGGTGATTCTTTCGAGGTTCGGCTCACAGACTCTTCGACTCGTGCTCCATGTTGATCATAGGAGCCCAGTGTGGGTTTGTTGAATCGTAAACTAGTGCGGGTTTTCCTGGATAAATTAATGAAATTTTAGTTCAGTAAATGTGCTTCTTTCATTTAAATAGCAAATACCTTGATGAAACTTCGGGTGTCTTGATGGTACCATAGGAAATCTCTTCGCGGTTTATTTTAGCTAGCCATAATTTTTTTTGATAATTCCCTTATTTGAGCTCCTGATGAGTAATTTCCAGAGGAACAGTGAAGAAACGAATCGTTTTATTCCTTTCAGAGCGTCTAGAACAACCAAATACACAACAAAACCTGCCCATGTTTCTCCAATGCTGCTGAAGTCAATGACATATAGTGTGCCCGGTGTCATGGCGGCGTAGGTACCGTTGCTATAGGAGTCACATGACGGGGCAAAGCCTCTATACTGGGAATAATACTGGGAGTAATATTGGGAATAATGCTGGAGGTAAAACAAGGAGTAATAGTGTAATACTGGGAATAATACTGGGAACAAACAGGGACTAATACAGGGAGTAATAATGGAAATAATAGAGGGAGAAATGTGAGAAATAATACAGTGAATACAGGCCCCAGGACAGAACAATCCCACAGGTCTCCTCCTCCTCTCCTCTTCCTCCTGGTCTCTGTTGCACCTCCTCTGTTCCTCTGTTCCTCGTCTGCTCCTCTTCTGCTCCTAATCCTGTTCCTCTGCTCTTCTGCACCTCCTCCTCTGCTGTAATGTGCACTTACCTCTTGTTATCCACCCCCTGTTATAGCGCCCCCTGTGTGTGTTCCAGTGTCACCTCTTGTTATAGCGCCCCCTGTGTGTGTTCCAGTGTCACCTCTTGTTATAGCGCCCCCTGTGTGTGTTCCAGTGTCACCTCTTGTTATAGCGCCCCCTGTGTGTGTTCCAGTGTCACCTCTTGTTCTCGGCTCCCTGCAGGATCAGAGCCTGCTTCTCCTCCTCCAGATCGGGTCTCTCTCGGGCCACGACGATCCCGAGCAGCTGGTCCTGGATGCCCTCTGGAGTGATCATGAAGTTCAACAGCGTCACCTACAGGCCACAAGTGGAACACGGGCAGATTTAACCAAAAATCCTTCAGAGCCGGTGATTTGACCTTCGTCCAATAAAGCGATCCCTCAGGAACACTCCAGGGACTGTGCCTTTGTGACACACCATTTGGTTTGTTTATCAGATCAAACTCTCCTGAACGGACTTTAAACACTTTCATTATTGTAGTGAACCCTTCTCTCTTTTGTCCCGATTAGTGGAGCTCTGAGCACTGACACACAACTTTAATTAGTTCTGTTTAGTTCAGGGGTTTTCACATTGGGCATGGTTTAGTTCTTGTTAAATCCTGGTTTAGACCTGGTTTAGACTTGGTTTTAGTCCTGGTTTAGACCTGGCTTAGTCTTGGATTAGACCTGGTTTAGACTTGGTTTTAGTTCTGGTTTAGTCCTGGTTCAGGCCTGGTTTGAGACCTGATTTTATTATTGATTTAGTCCTGGTTTAGTCCTAGTTTAGATCTGGTTTAGACCTGGTTTAGACCTGGTTTAGACCTGGTTTAGACCTGGTTTAGACCTGGTTTAGACCTAGTTTAGACCTGATTTTAGTCCTGGTTTAGAGGCGTGTTTAGGTGACGCTCCAAACTCTGAGTAGGTTGTCATGGCGACATCATTTTACAGCTGATACACGCACAATTACTGATCTCAGTCCTGCTGCAGATGTGTACACATGTGGACCATTATTAAGAGCCTCTCCAGTGGCTCTTTGGCGCCCCCCAGGGGAGGCGGGCCTCTCCTATTGAAAACCTCTGATTTAGTTCAACTGTAGTTTGATGTTACGTTATCATTTCGTGAGTGAAGACATGTTGTCACTTTCTGAAGGTAGAATGTCACCTGCATGAGTCCACGGAAACAAAGTGCAATAAAGTTTAAACCATATTTTGGTACATAGTTTTGGTAGGTCCATCTTAGAGACACATATGCTTTCTGATATACTGATGAACACTTTAGCCAAAGGAATAATATTTCGATGGAAACAAGCAGGAGCAACGTCAGGTTTGTGGAGGTGCAAGTGCCATGTTGTAAAGACCCGTCCAAGAATGGTTAAAAAGTGTACAAAAGGGAGCAGCTTTGGGCCAGTGCAGTGGACTTACGGAGTCTGTATTTGAAGCATCTGTGTGTCTGAAGTGAAGAGCCTCTATCTGCTCTGGAACACACCCAAATGAACAAGTGCACTTTGCTTAATTCTATTTGTATCGACGCCGCGCACTCAACCAGCGGCTGTTTACGGAGCTGCCGCCTCCTCACACCCCGCGATAACTGCTCCCGTCAATAACGTGAGCCGAGGAGCCGAAGGGACTTAAACCTGATCTAAAGGACGTGTAAGCACATTACAGTTTCAGTGATCTGATAGATATAGATTGGCCGCTAATTCACAAGGTAATGGTGGATATTAAAGTGATTTTTGTTATTGGGTGTGTTCAGGCACTGTCAGGAACACTGTCCAGGTCTAGTCCTGGTTTAGGTCCTGATTTTGTCAAGGATTAATCCTAATTTAGGTCCTGATTTTGTCAAGATTTAGTCCTGGTTTAGGTCCTGATTTTATCAAGATTTAGTCCTGGTTTAGGTCCTGATTTTGTCAAGGTTTAGTCCTGGTTTAGGTCCTGATTTTGTCAAGGTTTAGTCCTGGTTTAGGTCCTGATTTTGTCAAGGTTTAGTCCTGGTTTAGGTCCTGATTTTGTCAAGTTTAGTCCTGGTTTAGGTCCTGATTTTGTCAAGGTTTAGTCCTGGTTTAGGTCCTGATTTTGTCAAGGTTTAGTCCTGGTTTAGGTCCTGATTTTGTCAAGATTTAGTCCTGGTTTAGGTCCTGATTTTGTCAAGGTTTAGTCCTGGTTTAGGTCCTGATTTTGTCAAGATTTAGTCCTGGTTTAGGTCCTGATTTTGTCACGGTTTAGTCCTGGTTTAGGTCCTGATTTTGTCAAGGTTTAGTCCTGGTTTAGGTCCTGATTTTGTCAAGATTTAGTCCTGGTTTAGGTCCTGATTTTGTCAAGATTTAGTCCTGGTTTAGGTCCTGATTTTGTCACGGTTTAGTCCTGATTTTGTCAAGATTTAGTCCTGGTTTAGGTCCTGATTTTGTCACGGTTTAGTCCTGGTTTAGGTCCTGATTTTGTCAAGGTTTAGTCCTGGTTTAGGTCCTGATTTTGTCAAGATTTAGTCCTGGTTTAGGTCCTGATTTTGTCAAGGTTTAGTCCTGGTTTAGGTCCTGATTTTGTCACGGTTTAGTCCTGGTTTAGGTCCTGATTTTGTCAAGGTTGAGTCTTAATTTAGATCCTGATTTTGTTAAGGTTTAGTCCTGATTTAGGTCCTGATTTTGTCAAGATTTAGCCAGTCTCTTTAACATTCTGTTCAAATCCAGAAGGGTCTGGAACTGAACCAGAGTGTGAAAAACCTCCGTCCAAACTTGAGACGATCCAACACAGCAGCTCATCATTAGTATCAGGTGTCTCTCAATTGGAGAAGACATCTCCTCTCCAAAACTCTCCTAACATTCACAACAAAATCTATCACTTCTTTCATGTCGAATAGGTCATAGTTTGGTGCTTTGATTGTTGACTCTGTAAAAATATGTTCCATTTCTCAGTCCTTTACCTAGATTGTCAATTTTTTTATGTATGTAAATCCAAATCTCTCAGTACGATATTTTTTTACGATATACATCTCACGGTACAATATTTACTGTTTTTCCTCTTAAAATGCCATGACAAGACTTAATCCAAAGAACTAAGATTTAAAAGTGTTAGAACTGTTATTTCTTCTTGTAGTCTGCACTGAAATGGAGCAAAGGATCATGGTCTATGTAGTTCCCTCTGTCTTTTTTTAGCTGTTGCTGCATCATAACTCTTCATTTAAACAAAGAGACTTAATAATAATAGTAATTCAATATATTGTGATGGTCCAGGATATTATTGTGAGAACTTTGACGATACGATATCACAATATTTCTGTTATTGATACATCTCTACTAAACAGTCATTTTTGTTTTGAACAGAACAGAGCGTGCTTCTCTGATTAATCCACCTGTCAATCACGCAGTCTGAAATCAGGGAGAAAGACTTTGAAAAGTTGAAAAAAATGTTTTCAAGGTATGTGGTTCTGGCTTGTCAGATAAGTTTAGTCCTGGTCTAACCCTGCTTGAGTCCTGGTTTAAGATGCGTCAGTGTCCTGGTTGGAGCATTTTCTAAAATGACCACACACACGCACACACACACACACACACACACACACACGCGCACACACACGCACACACACACACACACGCGCACACACACGCACACACACACGCACATGCGCACACACACACATGCACACACGCACACACACACGCGCACACACAAACGCACGCACACACGCGCACGCACACACACGCACGCACACACACGCGCACACACACACACACGCACACACACGCACACGCACACACACACGCACACACACGCACACACGCACACACACAGACACACGTAAACACACACACACGTACATGCAAACATACACACGCACGCACACAGACAGACACACACAGACGTACACACACACACAGACACACACACAGACACACACACGCACACGTAAACACACACACACTTACACGCAAACACACACGCGCGCGCGCGCGCACACAGACAGACACACACAGACGCACACACACACACACAGACACACTCACACACACACATACGTAAACACACACACACACGCGCGCGCGCGCACACAGACAGACACACACAGACGCACACACACACACACAGACACACACACACACACACACACATACGTAAACACACACACACACGCGTGCACATGTAAACACACGCACACACACAAACACACACGCACACACACGCGCGCACACACAGTTGTCCACATCACACAGATTTTATCAGGGGGCCAATATTAGTCCAGTGCAGATCTGGTCTGATTCTTAAGCACAGCTCGTGGCGATAATAATATCAAATGTATTGTGCGATGGAGGAGCCGGGGGCGCACATACGTGAGGGACGCTTGAGTGGTTGTAATGGACGCCCATAACGAGCTCCGAGCAGCAGCACAAGTGAAATGTGATCTGGGCTAATGCGTTTCAAAGCCAAGCACTCACTAATGTCATTTAGCCTAATGCTCTTTCTGTGTGCACGGAAGACGGGACGAGAGGAAGAGGAGGAGAGGAGAGATGAGGACGAGGAGAGGAGGAGAGGAGAGGACGAGGAGAGATGAGGAGAGGAGGAGAGATGAGGAGAGGAGGAGAGATGAGGAGAGGTGAGGAGGACGAGAGGACGAGGAGATGAGGAGAAGAGGAGAGATGAGGAGAGGAGGAGGAGAGGAGGAGAGAAGAGGAGGACGAGAGGACGAGGAGAAGAGGAGGAGAGGAGGAGAGATGAGGAGGACGAGGAGAAGAGGAGGAAAGGAGGAGGAGAGGAGGCGGAGAAGAGGAGAGAGGAGGAGAGATGAGGATGAAGAGAGGAGGAGAGATGAGGACGAAGAGAGGAGGAGGGGGAGAGGAGGAGGAGAGGAGGAGAGGTGAGGATGAAGAGAGGAGAGGAGGAGGAGAGGAGGAGAGGTGAGGACGAAGAGAGGAGGAGGAGAGGAGAGAACGAGGAGAGATGAGGGGAGGAGGAGGAGAGGAGGAGAGATGAGATGAGGACGAGGAGAGGAGGAGAAGGAGAGATGAGAGGAGGAGGAGGAGAGGAAAGAAGAGGAGAAGGCAGAGGGGAGGAGAGGAGGTGAGAAGAGGAGAAGAGAGATAAGAGGAGGAGGGGGAGAAGAGAAGAGAAATGAGGAGAGGAGGAGAAGAGGAGTGGAGGAAGATGAGAGGAGGAGGAGAAGAGGAGAGCAGAGGAGAGAAAGGAGGAGAGAATTGAGAGGAGGAGAGGGAGAGGAGAGGAAGGAGAGGAGGCCAAATACAACAGGAACATGTAGATAGAGAGTGATGAGATTTAGCAATGAACCAAAGATGAAGATAAAGACGATTATAAACGTCCACTATGTAACGTG